GATCAGACCTAAGGACGACCCCGGGCAGGGTGCACGCAGGCAGCTGATCAGACCTAAGGACGACCCCGGGCAGGGTGCACGCAGACAGCTGATCAGATCTAAGGACGACCCCAGACAGGGTGCACGCAGGCAGTGTCCCCACACCTTTCAGCTGCTTGCTCAGGACAGATGAGGCTGATTCACAGGCTTGTGAGAACACAGAAGGCACCTGGGCTGCACAAATACTCCCCAGGTAGCAGATGCAACAAGGGGTGACGGCTTATCGTGGTTTCCAAGCTCACTATCACGCACTGTTTTCAAAATTCGGATTCTTTGGATACATGTCATTGGGTGAAAAGTTCAGAATCTCCTCCAAGGAAGGGCCTTCGATCTCTGGAGCAATTTCAGACTCAAACATCCGCTGCAGCAGAGTGTCCACAGTCTTGTACTCTAGAAGGAAGGACAGAGGCAAGTGGAACCCCCATGTGCTTGGCAGAGGGCGGGCATCCAACCCGGCAGACCTGGGCTCTCCTGATGGAGGGCCACTGAGCGGAAGACCGAGCTCTCAGCACGGTTAGCAAACACTCACTGAAAGGACAGGTGAAACAGTAAGGAAAGAACCACTCATTTCTTCTGGGTGTAAAGGAATCCAAGCACGGATCCCATGTGCTCACTGCCACTGAAGGCTCTGGAGGTCAAGAAGGTCCTCCTTAAGAATGGAGGAAGGACGGTGACCTCTCAGGCCGCAGCTCGCACCCCTCCACCTGGAATCTAGGTTTGATTCCTCAGTCTCAGTTCATTACAGGGTGCCCCAACTGGAGCCCAGGCAGATCTAGACCAGTTTGGGTTTACTCGGCCAACTGTTAACTCACTGATAATTAATTAAGTAATTAATCGAATAGTTGTTAAGGGCCCCCATATCTCAGGCTGATCATTAGGCTCTGGGGATACAATGGAGAACAAAAAAGTCATGGCTCCTGAGCCCAGAAGCTTCAAGTCTGCAAGGAGGACAGACAGTGGCCAAATAGACACACGACTGTAAATGTGCACCTGACATGAGCTGAAAGCAGGGAAGGGTGGTGGGGACACAGCGGGAGGCCAGGGGAGGCTTCCCTGAGGCAGTGCTGCTTAAGCAGAGCCCTGAAGGAGAGGAGGCTTCATTACGAAAATGGCAGATGAGAGCGAGCCAAGTGGAGAAGCAGCATCTACACAGGCCTTGGGGCAGGTGGAGCGGGGGAGCCCAATTTGCCGATAGACCAGCAGGGCTGAAGAGCACCAGGCACGGTGGGTCATGGCGGAAGGAAGAGACACGGATACAGAGAGAAACAGTCAGCGGGCCATGAAGGCCGTGGTAGGGGGCCTGCCCTTATCCTTGAGCAATGGGAATCCACCGAAGGCTAGATTTGCATTCTTCTCTCTGGCTGCTTCTCATTTCACTGGCTGTTGTGATTTAGAGGAATGTCCGTTCTAGTTTTGCATTAGGTTTTGATGGGGTTAAAACTTACTTTTGGATGCAATTCTGAAGTACAGCCCTTTCAAGGCCTTCCTTCTGCTGTGTCCATCATCCCCGCTAAAGCCCCGGTCCTCGGTGTCCGTGTTGTCGGTGAGTGTCCCATCCTGCACCTCTGCCTTTCAAGGAGGACAGACAACATGAAGGTCACTCGGCCGAGCCCTCACATGGCCTCCCAGCCTGGCCGAGTGCTCACCGTCCAGCCACATGCACTGCACTCATCCGGTCAGCAAGGTCCCTGACAATGAACACACCATCAGGCTGGGTGCCCTGGGCACTAACAGATTAAACGTGGTCAGAACCGTTAACGAACATTATCCACCTACTCCGCACTCGGCGACCAGCTCGTTACCTGACGTGTCACATTACCGACAATAATGAAAAATCTACTCTCCGACTATTTTGTGCATTAATGACGAATGTCTGGCAGTAACCCTTTTGTGACCAGTGGGACATACAGGGCCCACCCACATTTTCCACCTCGTGGGTCCAGAGGGACGTCGTGTCCCACATAATATTTTGTGATCTGATGTAGTCATCCTCCATGTTCACATAATGCCCATTTTTGCATAACGACCTGGTGTTTGGAGCCTAACCATGTCAGTAAGTGAGGAGTGGGTGTCCTTCCAAAAGTCTGAACATGCTACTCACTCTTTGACTCCCACTCCAAGCTCTTGTATCTTCTTCTCAATAGCAGTTTCTACTTCACTTTTTTCTAACGAATATGCCACAAAAAACGCCTCCAAGATGAATGCTATAAAAATACTGAGAAAGAGTAAGAGGTAGAGGCAGCCTGTGGTCAAGGTGATGTGGAATCCTGGCCCTAAAGAGCATTCGAGCCCCAATAAAAAGGCAGTCTATTGTTGCAAAGAAAATGCAGCACAGGAGGGAGAAATAACAAACAAAACTGCTCCCAACTTTTGGGCATTTGGAAAATAATCCTTCCTCTATATCCTACTTGAACAGTGACGATTAGGAAGAAAACAGTTTAAGGGGAAGTCAAGGCCAAATAATTGTTGGGAGACAATTCTCCATGATTATCTCATGCTTCTGCACAGTCTGAGTCCTGTGAGCAAAGGCATTTACAGCCAATTGAGGATGTGTGTATAAGAAGATATTCCAGGAAAGTAAAGCTTAGAGATTTTTCCTTCTCAGAGATGGTCCAGGTAGCAGAGATAAAGCCCTCTCTCTCCCTCCCTCCCTCCCCAAAGAAGATGTGCGCTTATATTCCAGAGCAAAGGTAAGGCCTCTCTTTCTCTGGAGGGGAGGGTGGGCACGTCACCAGCAGTCCAGTGCAGTCAGAGTTTCTCTCCCACAATGACCCCACTTCACATTGCTCTGTGGAGACTGGGGTGCAGGGAACTGACCCCGTGAGTAATAAACTGACTTTGTTTCTGACCCAAAGGCCTTGTGTTTTCTGTCAGTATATACACACGGCAGGCGATCATGTCAGCTTACAAGTAAAACCTCGGATCTCTCGCTGTTTCTGACTTCCGGTAATGATGATTTTAGCCGAGAGCTGTCACAGCACTCACATGCTTTTTAGGGAGAGGGGTCAAAACGTCCCCTAAGCATTTTTATATTGCTTTGGCCTATCCCAGTTGGTGTCAAGTCGATTCTGACTCGTGGTGACCCCATGTATGACAAAGTAGAACTGTGCTCCAGAGGGTTTTCAGTGACTGATTTTTTGGAAGTAGTCTGCCAGGCCTTTCTTCCGAGGCACCTCTGGGTGGACTCAAACCTTTCAGTTAGCAGCCAAATACATTAACCGTTTGTACCACGCGGGGGCTCCCTGCTCTCTGGAAACCAATTTAAGAGCCCATGAAGGAGGCATTTCTCTCTTCTTCCCACTACATATTCCGTTCAGGCTATAGGACATGCAGGCCTGACCAGAGCCACCCACAGGTTTCCTCTTCCCCTACCCTCTGCCAGGAGCTTCCCTGAGGCATCCTGAACCAAAGTCAGCAGGTGCTGGAGGCCAAAGTAGGCCTGACGTGACAAAGAAGACATGGGCGCCGGTATCTTGGTGCCACCCAGTCAGCCCGAGAACTGCAGGCCCGGAGACGGGTGCTGACAGTTCCAAAACACTTACGGAGAGAGTCACAGTGACAGCAGGGACACACATTCAGGTCACACGAGGAGCCAGGAACAAGGATCAGAGATTCTTCAGAGGGAAGGAGAGAGTCACAGTGACAGGGGGACACACAGTCAGGTCACACGAGGAGCCAGGAACCAGGATCAGAGAT